GATGGCTAGCAGTTTTCAGAATAAGTTGAAACAACTTATCTCCAAGAGATTTGGCTGTATTTGAACCAAATGCTACAAAAATGTAGTAAATTTGTCTTCTTATTCTCCTCAGAGATTGAGCTTGCTATTTGGCCCACGGGATTTTAGCATTCTTTCACTTCTATTAGTAGGGAGAATATTTTTTCTGAATTTGAAGAATTGTATGCTCAACTCTCGAAACTTCAACCGGTGTCTGATAATAAATCAGCGACTTTCGAGCTAAAATTGAATGATTTGGCTCATTCTTATCTAGTTCTCCATTTCTTTCTCTGAATCGAAATGGAAGTGAACACCATTTTTTTTATTAGATTTAAGGATAACCATTCTTTGGTTATTACTAAACCGGATAAGGGATCTGGTGTTGTCCTCATGGTTGACTACATTAACAAAATGTTAACTATATTGAATGACCCTTCCAAGTTTCAACGTCTTGGTTCCATTGACACTCATGATTCTACATTGACTTCTGAAATTCGATTTCAGAAACGTCTTGTCAAATGGGTAAAAAGTGGTGTTCTTTCCTCTAAAAATGGCGGAGAATTGAGACCGTCTGGTTCTATTCGTCCCCGTCTATATGGATTACCTAAGATTCATAAGGAGGGTGTCCCGTTGAGACCCATATTATCGATGATTGGGTCTTCACAGCAAAAGTCGCAAAGTTTGGTATAATGTTGCAACCAGTGTTGCAGCATTACAATTAAAGATTCGTTTTCTTTTTCCAAATTCATTCGGAATTTGATGCCACTGATGGATTTATGTGTATATTTGACATCTGTAGCCTCTTCACTTGTGTTCCTTTATCGGAGACTATTGATATTTGCAGCGATATGTTATATCGCAGTGATTCAATCCTCGAATATACCTGAAGAAGTGTTCGTTGAACTTGAAATTTGCCACTATGTTTGTCGATTTCAGTTTCGACAATATCATGTATCGTCAGATCGATGGTGTCGATGGGTTCCCCTTTGGGTCCTGTTTGGCAAATATTTTTGTGGGTTTTTATGAAGAAAGCCTTTTGTTAAGTTCTGCCCGACCCAAGGTTTACTTTCGGTATGTTGATGACACTTTTTGTGTTCAGCCATGAATCGGATTTGGATCAATTTCTCTTTTTTTTTCCCTACTCAATGGTGTTCATCCTGCCCTTAAATTTACAGTAGATAAGGAGGTCAATTGTTCATTGTTTTTAGATGTTCTTGTTCAAAGAACTCCTTCCTGTTTATTACCTCTGTGTACAGGAAGTCTACTTTTACAGGACTATATACCCGTTGGGACTTTTGTCCTAAACAACAAAAGATTAATTTGATTAGGACCCTGACACATAGGGCGTTAATGATCTGTTCGGATGACACCTTGAAACATGAAATCAGTTGTTTAACTGAGATCTTTGTGAACAATGGTTATCCGTTGAACATTGTTCAATCGGTTATTCGAGATGAGAATAGGTTCAACAAAATCAAACCTGCTTCAGTTGGTAAATGTCCGGTCTATCTTCGTTTACCGTGGTTGGGTAGGATTAGTGAATCCTTCAAACCAAGCGTATTTCATGTAGTTCACGTGAGTGTTATTTTGCAGCGAACGTTCGTGTTGTTTTTCAAACTAGGTCTGTACTTCCATCTATGTGTAAAGATGTTCTACCCCCACCATATTAACTCTGTTATTTACTATTTCAAATGTAGTTGTGGATGCGACTACATAGGTAACATCGACACAGCAGTCTGTTGAGAATTAAACAACACGTACCTGCGATAATATAACAAAAATATTTCTTTGGGCGATACCATTCGTAACATATATGGGTCTTCGATTGCGGATCATTTTATAAAGAATCCAATAAGTGCGATGGATTAAAGTGTGAACTGGTTTTCCGTCTTGGCCAGTTCACACTCTTTTCCATCTCAAGGTTTTGGAATCGCTTTACATCAGGTCAGGCATCTTCTCTTTGCAAACAAAGAGATTGTTTGCTTGGACTTGCTGTTCTGCGCTTTTTGGTGGTATATTTTATCTTTCCTTCCTTCCCTGTCCATTCATTCATGTCACCCATGACAGACTTTTTCTTTTTCCTCATAATCTAAATTCCCCGTTAACAGTTCTGACGAGAGGGGACGAAACCGGTCGACTGTGTGTGTTTTTATTTTAAACTTATCATGGCCTGCAATACAACATTTCTAGTTTTAATGCCTTAATATATATATATATATATATATATATATATATATATATATATACAATTTGCATAATACCTTACATTGTTTGAATTTCATAGCTTCTGCATTCGACAAGCACCTGAAGGTACGAAACTCCGAGTTGTGCAATTGCCTATATTTATCTATTTGGATATATATATATATATATATATATATATATATATATATATATATATATTATTATTATTATTCTGCTTGTTCCTCTATTAGGCAGTAATTTAGTATGTGCGTTATACTTTGCCATTACCCCAGACGAATAACTGACATTTCTGTTTTGATTGCTTGGAAAGACTAACAAAAGATATATAAGAGACGCTGTTTTGTTTTAATGATAAGTAAAACTATACATAAGAAGTAAAAGAAAGAAAGATAGAAACAAACAAATAAACAAAATGAATTAATTCCGTTCTCATTCGTTTAACGTCTGCTTCATGGAAATGGAAAAACTTGTCAAATTTGAATATTTTTCATTTGTAAGCTCTTACTTCTTTAAATAATGGCCTACATTCATAATTTTTATTATTGAAATAGTTGTGTTAAAGTTGTTAAGCGCAAGTATTGAACAATTCAACAGGAAAATTCCCATGTTTTTTTGTTGTTTTTTAGTCGGTGAGCTCTCAAATCTTATTCGCTGGTTAAATTAAGAACTATGGTTCATCAGAAAATTAAAATAGGCAAACGGTGAAAATTTAATAGATACTGACAGTATCTCTCTCTTTCTTTCTCTCTCTCTCTCTTTCTCTCTTTCTCTCTTTCTTTCTCTCTCTCTCTCTTTCTTTCTCTCTTTCTCTCTCTCTCTCTTTCTCTCTCTCTCTTTCTCTCTTTCTCTCTTAATATATATAATGTGTGTTTGCCTACAGGAAGAGAGAGAGAGAGAAAGAAAGAGATACTGTCAGTATCTCTCTCTCTTTCTCTCTCTCTCTCTTTCTCTCTCTCTCTCTTTCTCTCTCTCTCTCTCTCTTTCTCTCTTAATATATATAATGTGTGTTTGCCTACAGGAAGAGAGAGAGAGAGAGAGAGAGAGAGAGAGAGAGAGAGAGAGGTAGAAAGAGAAAACCGAAACACTGTTTCAAGTCTTGTCGTGACAAAAGAAAAGACACCATTTTGTCTTAGTTCGCTGCTGTAATCGACTTAAGAAATATTTGCTGTGTCCACTTGAATGATTTTAGCATATGTAAAGGAAATAATTCTAGAATTTATTCGCATTTTCTCACGAAGAAAATTAATTTACGAATCTTTTGCTATAAAGTTAATTTAATAGTCATCTCCATAAAATTTAATTTATATAAAAAATACAGTAATGATCAACTTCATTTATTGTGTATTTCCATAGTTTGTATTTCTGTTGAATTTTGCCACACTTCTTACGCTGTAATTAAGCATTTTAATTTTACTTGATTTAAAGAAATCATCTAATGAAAAAGTATATTTACAAATGTTATGTAATTTTAATGCCATATAATTCAATAAATTTAATCATATATATTTTGGATATCGTAAAAACGGTGAGCAAATTTTTAACTCTAAACTTTCTGCTCAACAACGAATTTTGAAATGTTTTAAGGTACTTCTCAAATCATGAAAAAATATATTTCTGATGAAATAATTCAGCATAAAAATAGTTACTTTATTTCTAAATAATAAATGTCAAAATAATTTTCTTACTTTCATGTTTATTTGAACGCATATCACATTTCTGTTCAAGAATTCACAGTTCCAATGCCGTTTGATAAAAGATATAAAAGATGTAACATATAATATTTCGTACACCTTTGTTGTTAAATAAGTGGAAGATGATCTGAATCTCTGTCAAATTATATATTAATTGTAATAAGACTTTAAAAAATAAAAATATAGTTTAACTTTTAGAACCAAATTAATTCTACTTTTAATCTTGTCTTATTTCATAGAATTACTTAAAATGAATATAAAAATGAACTACCTCAAATCATAACAGAAGCAAAAACTCATCACAACAAGATTTGAAATAGGCCTCCAGTTCTGACCTTCATTTGCATAAATGGTTGACCAGAAGTAACTGAAGTGACTGTCTTGTTAGAATATATTTGCACGCAATGCCACACCAAACTATCAAGATGTATAGTTGACAAGTTTATCTCACAGTGTCCACGTGCAGATTCACGTGACCGGACCAGTTGCACGTGGGTTAAAATAATTGTAACAAGCAGCATGACATAGATATATAAACACCCACCTTAAGGGCAAGAGGAGAAGTCTATCACACATCCAAGATGCGAATCCAAGGTTTACGTTGAGGTGGAACGGGTCGCACACACACACACACACACACACACACACACACACACACACACACACACACATCGGCTGACTATAATTGACGAATTGCCGGAATGAAATAAAATGCAATGTAAATTATGAGAAATTGAATCGTATGGTATCATTAACTGGCACTACATTTCAGAAATCTACAGCTAAACCCCGCCATGCTTGAAACATAACGGTGAGCCATCCATATTATTTTCGTATTTCATTGATTAGAAGCAAATTCCATTCGCAGAAAATTTCTTCACAAAAGCCATGACATTCGGGAACAGCCTCCTGGGGAGATGCTTCTCTAACAGTCAAATCTAACTGATTAAACATCTACTGATAATCTTCACTTATTTCTCCTCTCTTTCCAACGTCCATACTAACATATCGTTTAGTGACAATCCACCTTGAGTTTCTCTCGTGTCTTGTATTGAGTAAAAATTTATTAATAAAACATTAATTTCATTAGAGAAAGATAGATAGATAGATAGATAGATAGGTAGATAAATAGATATGAACAGGCATAGATAGATAGATAGATAGATAGATAGATAGATAGATAGATAGATGCAATCCTGTATGCCAGTGCCTATGCATTCAGTGTTCTGCACTACCTTGAGTTACTCTCGAGTCTTGTACTGAGTGAAAATTTATTAATAAAACATCATTTCAGTTTCAAAACAGTTTCATTACAGATAGATAGATAGATATGAACAGACATAGATAGATAGATAGATAGATAGATAGATAGATATGAACGGGACGGGACATAGATAGATAGATAGATAGATAGATAGATAGATAGATAGATAGATAGAAGTCTGTATGTCGGTGCCTATGTATTCAATGTTCTGCTTCTTTTTTGTCTAACCAAGGCGTAGCCAGAATTTAAATGTTTCAAAAAAAGAAAATAAATCCGAAATACAATAAATAAATATATGTATGGATAACGCTAACACCAAGAAGGCAGAGTCCATTGGTTTCCGTCCGTTCACAAGAGGCAGAGGAGAGGCAATAGAACGGCGGTCGAAACGAGAGAGAGAGGGGGGAGGAGGAATAGTTACGGTCGGTGTAGATGGGAGTGGGCGAGATATCTTACGCGGAGAGAAGGGCTGGGCGCACAAAAATCGGGAACCTATTCTCCTGTTATAATGAGGCAAAGAATACGAAGGACGTCTACGAAGCGGAGTATGCGAATTAAGATACCCCGAGGCGGAGGCTGTGCGAGAAAGAAGCGGGGTGGTGGAACAAAAATAACAAAAGTCAAATAAGGAGACAAAAAAACTTTTGCACTGCAAGGTAAAAATGACGATACAAAAGAGGGTAGCTAAGACGAGAAAGACCCAAGCGGGCAGAGACAGATACGAGAAACGAGTAGAGATGAGGAGTAGACGAGATGGGCAAGTTAGGCGGGAAAAAAAAAACAGAGACGATTGGTTGAAAATTGGTTGGAATGAAAAGAATAACAAATAAAGAAAACAATGAAGGACAACTGGTGAGGTTGGGGAGTTGAAGGGAATGAGAAACGAAGAAAAATTGAATGACTTGAAATGAATAAGAAACACGAACGAGTTTAGGAAATGAAGGATGTAAAAACGAACGAGAGGCAAAGAGAATGGAAAGAAGAAAAGGAATAAGAAAAGAAAAGTGAAAAGAATGAAAGATGTAAAATCCCGAATTCAAAACTGAAAAAAAAATAAAAATAAAACGCAAAATAAACATTATAAACAATGAGATAAAAAAGAAGAAAAAAAGCCAAATTATGTAAAGAGGCGGAAAGCAAGAAATTGTTTCACTGTAAATGTATCCTACATTTGTATAGATATACACATACGGGACACCTCGACTTGAAGTAATCGTTAGCAAGCTTGTTTTGCTAGATCAATTACGACTGAGTAGTGAGTTCAATCCTCACTAGGAGCTCAATAATTTCGGCCTTGTACCACATCAAAACTACGCTTAGTAAAGTGCCACATGTGTGGCACATCGACGTGATGTAACGGTCAGCAAACTTGTCTCGCTAAATCAATTACGATTTAGTAGTGAGTTAAACCCTCACAGGATTCCCAATACTTTCGGTCGTGTGCCATATCTAATCCCTTTATTTGGTGTAAGGTTTAGCAATATTGTCTCAATAAATCAATTCCGATCAGTCCTCCCTTACTGCTTTATATTTTCGACCTTATGCCACATCAATTCTACGTTTACTAAACCACTAGAATAACAGAAGCAAAGCAGCTGTGCCCACTATTATAAATGGCGCCAAGGTCACATCATCTTCGACTCGATCTTTGCCTCAAACTCAACTTTAGATGACAAAGGACATACTCTCTCCAACTTCCCACGTCAGTATTATACTCATTTCAGTAAAAGAAGTCTCTCGACTTATCAAAAGCCTCAATATCAAAATTCTCTTGCCCAGACAAAATTCCAGTGGTCGTTTTTAAGAGTATCCCCCAGAATTATCCCCGGTCCTAGCAAAGTTATTTAACCGCTACTTGAAAGCGAAATAATTTCCATGCATGGAGAAAGGTGACAAGCGTAATGCCCGGGCTTCAAGAACGAGGACAACAGATACTCACCTCCCAGTATAGAACCATTAGTCACTTTAGTATAATCGGTAAGCATTTTGAGGCTTTAATCAACAAATAAGTCTTCGAGCTGCTGGATAGGAACAACCTCTTGTACTACGAGCAGTATGGGGTTCGAACAGCCCGATCCACTGCTGATGTCCTAACTACCATTATACAAAGAATTAGTGACGCCCCTGACAACACATACCTCAAGGACAATAGCATTAGATATTTCGAAGGCTTTCGACAAGGTGTGGCACAAATGTTTGCTACACAAGTTTTCCAGCTATGGAATCACTGGAAGGGTTTTCTCGATTATAAAATCCTTCCTAACAGATAGATCCATGAAGCTAGTTATTCCTCAGTCCTCTGAGGACCTGGCGGTCAACGCAGGCGTCCCCGACAGGTCACTTGTCGTAAAAACCTTTTTGGTTTACATAAATGACCTACCTAAAAACCTGGAAACTGTGGAAAAAAGAAACTGGCTGGTTATATTCAATGCCTTTAAAACCAAACTGGTTACATTCCATCACTGCTGATCAGACTCTGAATTACCGCCACACACGATGAATGAATGTCACCTCGAAGAGGCACCATCCTCTGAGAGGATACTGAGCCTCAAAATTAAACCTACCTTAAGTGGAATTGCTATATACGATCCATTGCTAAAGATGCAGGTAAAATGATCGGCTACCTATACCTGGATGAAGACATTATTTCCTGTTTCCCTTTTCGTCTCTTTTGTTCGAAAGATATGATACATTTTTTCTGAAGTAATCACTATATATATATATATATATGTGTGTGTGTGTGTGTGTGTGTGTGTGTGTGTGTGTGTGTGTGTGTGTATTTTTATACAACATTATTTTTATTACTATAAATGTTATTTTAGTGGGTATAAATGGTGGTCTAAAAAAGTCAAGGATAGCAATGCAAACACAAGTAGCCACTAAAAATAATGCGTTTCAAGCCATAAGAAACGATGTCGGATGAAAAACGTTCAAAATATTATTGTTCTTTACGTTTGAAGGTAACAGATCTAAATTCGTTATATAAGGAATTCAAACATTGCACCAAAGATGGAATCTCATCAGAACAACTAGCATGAAAATATTTATCGTCAAAGCAAAGAGAAGCTACGTTACGGCAGTGCGAATATGACTGAAGCCGAGATGCATATGAATATTGCAATATCTATCCTACATATCCTCATACTATTTCCTTCTTACTCCATTACGTTCTTACAATAACTTCCTTCAGTAAACATTTAACATGATTGGCACTTGGGTTTTGTGAACAAGAATATATAAAATGCCTGACGATTGCGTTTAGCTTGAAACAGAATGTCGCCCCCCCCCCGCCCGGGTGTTGACTTCAATATCCACTTTTATATTTACATACACTCTATCCCTGATTTTCAGCACTTTATTCCATAAATATAGCATATCATGAAATTATATCATATATATATATATATATATATATATATATATACACACACACAGCATACCTTGAAATTATATTTTATCACATATATATGTGTGTGTTTGTGTGCGTGTATATGTGTGTATATATATGTATGTATATGAGTTTGTGTGTGAATAAATACAAATGAAAAACTTCTCTTAGTCGACATGTTTCGTCCTCTGACAGACTTTATCAAGTCAGTCAAATGCGAGGATATTATTTTGCAACAAGTGTTTAGAAATAAAAGTCAAAATGTTATTTTTTTCAAAATTTTTATACTGAAGAGACGTTTATAAATATTAATCAGGTTCGCTGATAAATCTACGTAAATTATGGAGGATCATAAGTGACATATTTTAATGTTTAGTAAATGAAAGTGAGAAATTGATGAGGGAGGGAGGGAAGGGGAGAGTGTACAAGAGAGAGAGAGAGAGATAAAATAAGGAAATATGGGTTTCAGATATAAGAAATGAAATAAAGTAATGTTGACTCATCCCTACTCTCGTAGTGTTTACTGATGACTTTTATTTTTCCATAAATCTAGACAAAAATTTAGACTATAATCTAGACTATAATCATAGACTATAATTTTGATAATAATCATAGACTAAAATTTAGACTATAATCGTAGACTATAATTTAGATAATAATCATAGACTATAATTTAAACTATAATCATAGACTATAATCTGGATTATAGTCATAGACTATAATCTAGACTATAATCATAGACTATAATCTGGACTATAGTCATGGACTATAATCTAGACTATAATCATAGACTATAATTTAAATAATAATCATAGACTATGATTTTGGAAAGTGAAAATTTTATTGAAACTTTGTTACAAAATTTTCTGGTGTGTGTTTTCTTTTTTATGAAATTATAAAAATATGAACTTCAAGCAAAATGATCCCGATAGATGACGGTAAAAGACAACAAGAGGATATGAATTAAGCAAACAGAAAATTTCTTCAGGAGAAAACAAGAAGATGGCGTTATCGTTGGTGACAATTTGATTCAAGTAAAGAAGAAAATGAAAGTAAATCTAGAAGAAAATAGAAAGACGACAAATTAGTTAAATTAAAAGAAAAAAAAGGAAACGGAATATGAATCTTGGAAAAAATTATTATTTAAAAGACAGCGCTATTTGTAGACAGTTTTCCCACCAGACTCAGGAGCTAGTCTTCAAGTTCTGGAAAAAAAGACAATATTTTGCTTAAAAGCTCTTCTGTCTTTGAAAATTGGCAAATTCCAATCTTTTTATCGACTATTCTCACTCCTTTGGTTTTGCGTTCCAATTATGTCTTATAAATCTTCATTTGATAGATCTTTGAATTGGTCAGCATCTGATTTTTATATCTGACTGTATTAACGAGACTCAACAAGGAAGGAAGGTCCTACAACCAAATCGCTTAATAATATTTTTGCTTACTCAATCGACAATCGTTTTGGCGGGGGCAGAAGAAGAACGAAATATTTCCATGAAAGTTTACTTTTTCGGTTGGAATCGCATGGGACGAACGAAAACTTGATAAAAAAGGAAGCATGATGTTAATGTAAACAGAACGAAAGAATAACGAAATAAAAAGAAAGAAAAAAGAAAAGAAGATAACTAGTAAAAATGAAAAAGAAAGACATATAATGGGAAAAATGATAGAAAAAGAAAGATGGTAAGAAAGACAAGTGAAAGAAAGAAAACTGGAAGAAAATGAAAATGAAAAAGAAAGGAATATAATGGAAAAATGCTAGAAATAGAAAGAAAGAAAGAAGCAAAGAAGATCAAAGTTATAAAGACAACTAAAAAAAGAAAAAAGGAAAAATTGAATGAAACCTAATTAAAAAATAAAGAAAGGAAAATGAAAGACAGTTAAGAATTATGTAAAAAGTGAGTAAAAGTAAGAAGCAAAGAAAATCAAATGAGAAAATAAACAGAGATTCAAATAACGTCAGTAACAGTAACATTAATAACACTAACGTCAGTAACAATAACGTCAGTAACAGTATTTTTATTCTTTTAATTGATTATTGCAAAAGTAAAGAAAAAAATCTAGAATAAATTAGATGTATAGGATATAAATAAGAAAATCAGATTTTACTGGAAATATGTTTACCAAGAATAGATTATTGATATTTTCATCAATTAATATAAAATTATATCGGATTAAAACATAAATAAATAAAATCCATTCATGCTTTCGAAATTGATTTGTTTACGTTTCCGATACGAAACAGAAGAGATATGCGTTTTCAGTTAGAATCTAAACGAGTAAGTTTTCATTAAAGGCAAAATAGGACAGTACTTAATTGTTTAGATCTTAGTAGTGAAGGCACAATGGATTAAACGATTATTCCTTTTGTAATTTTCTCCAATAATACTATTATTTTCTCCAATGCTATTTAAAAAAAAAGTCTACTTAAATGCGGGTATCCACTAAAATTAACGCTTGATGTAATTACTGAATATGAAAACATTTCACATGCGACCCACTGGAATTAATTCAGCTTTAATATCAGTGGCTTTCGCAAACTATTTTCCCCTAACATTTTTCCTTCGGAATAATTATTCGTTGAAAAAATTAATTTTACCTGAATATTTCATGAAAAATTTTATGTCATTTTTTCGCATCTGTATTTTCGATCTATCGTAAATCCCGTACGACTTTATCAAAGGAACAGCAATAACTGAATCTCTTGTCAAGGACAATATAAAAAAAAAAAAAAAATTCAATATATATATATATATATATATATATATATATATATATATATATATATATATATGTATGTATGTATGTATGTATGTATGTATGTATGTGAGGTCCAAAGAGGAAAAAAGTTCCTTTCCAGCATACGAAACAGGAGAAAATGGTTGAGATAAATGAGGATGTAGTTTTATATATTCTATAGTTAAGCGGAGAGGAAATGCCAGTCCAATGATGGACGGTAAAAGATAGCACAGTTAGGAGCCATCTATCTGGGTGAGAGAGCGGGGCCAGAATGAAGTTGATAATCCAAAAAGGATGGTGGAACATAGTTCGGTAGATTCTTACGACGAAGCTTTCACTGCCGCAACACTTCGCTATAAAAATCAGCGGGAAGGGTATTTAATTATTCCTTGTTAAGCTGTAAAATCGACTCAAGCGACCCCTACGGCCAAGAGTACGGTGTCGTCTCTATCCGCCCAACCCTAACAGCGCCCGCTTGACTTCCCTTTCTTGGTTTGCTTTGTTTTCTTTTCTTAAACTCTTTCCCTCAAACTTTTTCCCCCTTTCTTTTAGCCAAATTTTTTTCTTTACTTCTACCTGTTTTAACTTTTTGATTCTTTCTTTCAACCTTTCTTTCAACCTTTCTTTTCCCGATATCCGTTTTCTTTTTTTCTTTCTCTCTCTTTGTCTACATTTCTTTCTTGATTTCTTTCTTGTTATTTCTTTTGCCCTGTCTTTTTCTTTTAATCTCTCTTTCTTACATTGTTTTTGTTGTTGTTGTTGTTGTTGTTGTTTTTTTGTATAACCTTTCCTTTCTTTCTTTCTTTGTTTCTTTTCGCAGGTTCCATTCGTTCTTTCTCTCTTTCATTCTCATTCTAGCTTCTTTCTCTCTTTCTTTTTTTCTTTTTTTAAAAGTGGCAGGCTCTCTTCTGTCTTCATATTTTCGTTCTTTCTTTCAAATTTAAATTCTTTCTTTCAACCTTCCTTTATTTCCCCATTCCTTTGAAACTTTCTCATTCAAGCTTCTTATTCTTTTCTTAAGTGTGATATACTCCATTCTATCTTCATTTTTTCTTCTTTCTTTCTCCCATTTAATAGTCTTTTTGTTATTTCTTTTGATTCCTTTTTTAATCTGATTTTTTTTTTTATGTTTCAAGTTTAATATTCTTCTTTTGTTAATTATTTAAAACTTGTTCTTTTTACTTTTCGTTCTTTCTCTTTTCATTTTTTTCTTTCTTTTTTCGGAAGAAATATTTTTCAGTTTCTTTCTCAGTTTCAATAATTCCATTTTATTTTTCCTTTCTTCCTTCCTTTCTTTCTTTTATCGTACTTTCTTTCTTTCTCAGGTTTCTTTTTCTTTCTTTCCCAGTTACTGTTATTATCTCTCTATTTTTCTTGTTTCCTTTTTCTCTTTCTTTTCATTAACAATTTCGTCTTATGCTTTTTTCACAAGATTCTCCTTCTTTTTCACTTTCTTCTTTCTCAAGATTTTTTCGTTTTCTTTTTTTGTGTTTCGCTTTCATTATAATTTTTTTCATTTTATTTCCTAATTTTTATATTCCCTCTTTCTTTTTCTAATTTTTTTCAAATCTCTATTACTTTTTATTTCTATTCTGTGTTCACCATTCTTTGTATTATTTCTCTACCCAGTGAAGGAATATAATAAAATTAGCCGTTTCCTTATAAGAAAACATTCGATATTCATTAACCAAGCAGCCACTGTTTTTAAGATTTATAAAATATTTCTAATAAATTAATTTTTTCAGGGACAACGGTCTTTCGAATGCAATGTAATCGTTCTTTCTTGTTACTTCTTAACTTTTCGTTCGAAGTTGTGCGGAACGGCTGCATCATGACTAGATCATTATTTTTTTCTGCGAGTTTAATGTGCTAACCATCTTATTTGTTTTTGTTGTTGAAAGTCCTCAAGTGATGTGCTTTCTGTCATTTGTTACAGTTCTTTCTCATTCTGAGCATCAGTCCACAAGGTTTGAACTAAGATGGATATCGCTAAGTCTCATTGAAACGAGACCATTTTTAAAGATTGTTCCGAGAAAGCGATTGTACACAGCTGACAGTATAGATACTTTGGAACATAATTTTACCTGAACCAAATGAAGAAAATCTATCTTCAAATAGACAGGAAGTTGAAAAATAGGATTTGAAAAATTATTTTATTTCAGATCATTGTACCATTTTTTATAATTCAGTTTTTCCCAAGATTAATTGCAATATCAGTTCTGACACAACATGAATGAATGTTAGAATGATGTACATCATTTACATTTGGACTAATATTTTCACCTTTGTTTTGTTATCACAACATTTCGAGCTTTTTACTCTCCAGCCTTCATTAAGTGACTGTTGATCCGGGTAAGCTGGAGGGAATTTCGAACTAAAGACTTTAATTTATCTATGAAATTAGATTGCTTTCGTTCATCTGTTCACGTATATGGATATAGGTCTCACATTTATACACACACACACACACGAATATACACACTTACACACATCATACTCACTCACTTCTTAATGAGCCAAATGTTAACACCCACCCACAGCAATACACACAGTTACACATATCATATTCACTCATTCCCTAAGAACCAAATAACACACACACAAACACTTAACAGAGACACATCCCCTCTCCAGGACCAATAAAACTGTCAAACTGACCACGGGAATTCAGAGAAGGATAGATCCATCCAGCTTTATCTCAAATAACAACTTAAAAGAGACTGTTTGACCAACACAAGAATTGTTAAAAAATTCATGTTAAAATGATAAAAAAATTAAAAAAAACAAATGAAAACTACAGACAAAAGTTCATTTTCTCCATCAAGACATTCATTTCTGTAGTTTACTGCTACCAGCAAGCAGAAATATTTCTTCTCCCGATGATGGCCATTTTGGCCGAAACTAGTCGAGGAATAATAAAAAAAACAAAAAACGAAGGAATATTAATCTACAACCCAGTGTGTCTGAAGATTTTAATTTTTAATATTTTTTATTTTTCAATATATATATATATATATATATATATATATATATATATATATATATATAACAAAGTGCAAAAGGTTTTGCTGTGACACGTTTTGTCCTTTCGGTCTCCATCTGGCTAAATTTCTTATTTTGGTGCGACTATACATGCGCACGCGAAGAGGGATGCTGGAAATTTTAAATTATTTTTTTTACATATAATATAGCCAATTTCGTTTAGCTTATTTTATTTTATTTTTTTTAAATATTTCTTTTAGAAATATTGTTTTCTCATAATTCTATATATTTTTTGTGAAATCTATTATATTTTATCTTATAAATATCCGCTTCTTGTTGTTTTGTTTTGTATTAAATAAATGACTTATTTTTTCAGAAGTAGTTGTCAAAAATATATTAAATGTAAATAAATTCTTTTCATGTGAAGTCATTATTTTTATCCTTCATTTATTTACAATTTTGGGGTTATAAATAACTCTGTTTCGCTCTGTTGGTAAATTTGATGTTTCATGACATAACAATCTCCCGTAGTACGAAAGTAAAGTTCGAATTTTGTAAGTAAAAACGAGGAGAATATTTGATCAAATATTTTGTGATAGAAAATAAAAAATATTAATGAAAAAGTAAAGGACAAAGAATGAAAAAGAAAAATAGAATGAAGAAATAAAAGAAAATAAAAACATAAAAGTAAAAAGAACAAAATAATTAAAAGATAATATGATAAAAAGGTAAGAATAAAAGAAAAACCGAAAAAGAAAAAAGAAAAGAAAAACAAAATAAAAGAAAAGGTAAAAAGCAAAAGGATAAAAAGAAAAACAAAAAGAAAATTAAAAAAGTAAAGAAAAACTCTTAAAAAAGTCGAAAACGATAAAGTAAAAGAAAAGAGAAAGATATAAAAAAGAAAAATAAACAAAAGAAATAAAGAAAAGTGGAAAAAACAGAAAAGAACAACGAAAACCGAAAATAGAAAAGCGAAAATGAAAAGAAAAATGAAAAGAAAAAGAAAAGGAAAAGAATAAACAAAAATAAAATTAAATAAAAGAATAAAAAAGAAAAAAAAAACAAAGAAGAAAAAATGAAGAAAAAGAAAAAACCAAATAAAATATATAGGACAAGAAAAGGAAAAGAAAAAAGTTAAAATGAAAAACGAAATAAAAGTAAAAGGAAAAAAGAAAAGTTAAATGGTAAAATTAAAATTAAAAGATTACAGAAAAAGGATCGATGAAATAAAAGAAAAAGAAAGAAAAGAAAAATTAAAAGAAAAAATAAGAGAAAAAAAAAGAATAAAGAAAAAATCAGAACGAAAACATTAAAAAAGAAAAACGAAAAAGAAACAAGTAAAAAAAGCGAAGCCAAAAAGAGAAAAAAAAAAGAAATATAATAAAAAAAAAAAATGAAAAGAAAAAAGAAATCGTGTGGAATCACGAAAATATTTCATGTCCGTAATCCAGAAATCTACTGGCTTTCCTCGTATTAGAATTCATTCTCATGAATTCCGATTAGAAAATACCTTCTGTTTTAATCTTTCTCAGCCAGAGAAGATATGTTAATGAGTCTTGGCGAGACGAAATATCTTTACGACTCTCATCGTTCGCTCGAGCCGCAAACAGGAAAATGAGGAATGAGAAACTCCTGAAAGAAAAAAAAACACAATGAAACATCAAATGAAATCAACGACAATAAAAACAAATAAATGGAACTGATTAATTTAATTTGCATTTGAGTGAAATCCAAATCAGTTGGACTCCGTTAGCCAAGTAAGCGAGAGAAAAAGTATGTGGCGTTCACCATTCAGTCATATCTTCCGGTGTTGTTCGTTGCCTCATTCAGAATCAGCGGAGGAGGTTTGTCCGACGTCCCTGTGGGGAAAGCCATTCCTGGCCTTAATCGCGACGCGACAATTCCTTTTCTTTTCTATTCAGAAAGTCACGCTTGCGTATGGGACAATTGTTTAGAGTGTAAGAAAACCAACGCGGTATTACAAGGCAAAATGTAGTAGTAGTAGTAGTAGTAGAAGAAGAAGAAGAAGAAGAAAATAATGAGAAAGAAAAAAGTAAATTTAAGTGTAGAAAAAAGTAATATGGAACTAACGAATGAAATGATGGAAAATAAGAAGGAAAAGAATAAGAAAAATAAGAAATATTTTGGTGTAACGAGAAAAGGAATAATGAGAGAATTTAGAAGAAGAAGAAGAAGAAATATTTCGACCTATGAACAAAAAGGAATAAGGAGATAATAAATGGGAAAACGAAGAATAACGGATATTCAGATGCAAAAAGAAAAAAAAACTGAAAATTCAGGAAGAAGAAAAATTCAAAATGGAAAAAATTAAGTGCAATAAGAAAAACAATCATAAGAAGGAAATAATTACGAAGAAGTAAAAGAAGAAACAAGTGGTTGTAAATAGAAAAAGTATAGGATGATAATAAAGAAAAAGAAGAAGAAGAGGAAGAAGAAGAAAAAGAAGAAATGCGTGGGTGTAAAAAGAAAAAAGAAGACAAAGTAATGAGAAAGAAGATATCCTTAAGAAAAAGAAAAAAAATGGAGAAAAGAAAAGTAGAAACGAAAAAAGAAGCAAACAAAAAATGAAAAATAGAACAATTATCAAAATAAAGCAGCCCAAGACAGGTAAGAGATGATGGGGAGCATGAGAAGGATAGAAAAAGGGATAAAAGATAAAAGAAGGAAGACAAAAAAGAAGAAGAAGAAGAGAAAACAAAGGGTAAAAAATAAAATAGGAAAAGAATGAATCTGAAAGAGAAATTGAGAAACATGCGTAGTAAAAAGTAAAGCAAAAGAACTAATATTCCAAGAAACAATTTAAAAAAACAGCATTATTGAAATTGGCCGGACCACAGTGAAAATAATCAGAACACTGAGAAGACATTTTCTATCAGTCGAAACATTATTCCAGTCTCTTGTCGCATTAGTTGCTCAATTAGTTGCAGGATTCATGTCTTCAAGGAACATCGGTAGTTTAAATTTACCCATTTATTATACAGACACCCTGTCTTTACACTCCAGAGTGTAACAGAAACATAAGTTTGATCAAGCGTTTACCTCTATTAAATATAAAGCTAAAACAGAAATAACACATAAGATGATATAATGAATGCTTACACCGAACAAAATTCAAGAAGCCATTGTAATAAAATCGTTTCGATCGGCATAATGATATGATGTAATGAATGCATATAACAGACAAAATTTCATAACTACATACAAGATACAATATAATTACTCTATGCTAACGGCAATATAATGGGAACACAATGCAATAATCGAATATAAAAGACATTAAAATTCACATGTGAAGCACATCCTATATGAGAGTTAAATGCATAAGGCTTTTTAATAGAGGAATATGCAAGAATGTTATAACGAATTCAAGAAGACATTTTAATAAAATCGTTTCGACTTTTCAAATCATGTTCTTAATGTTCTTTGAATTATTTTGTAAAATATCTGAATCAGTTTCATGAAAGCATATTTTATTTAACTTAAAGGAAAAATGCAATGGGTTTCATAGAAAAAGAAGTGGGCAATAAATATAGGTCCATAGGCAACAGGCACCTGCCGCATTGTGTGTGTTTACCTGATTATGTGATTATGTGCATGTGTGTGTGAAGAAAATTACAGTAATAGAACTGTTATCTAGAGTATGTGTAGTTGTGTAAACCTGAACAGCTCTCTCTCGCTCTCTCTACCCCTCTCTCTCTCTCTCTCTCTCTCTCTCTATATATATATATATATATATATATATATATATACACCCATAGTAATATACACGCTTACACACATCATACTCACTCACTCCCTAAGAAACGAATAACACACACACACTTAACAGAGATACACCCCCTTTCCAGGAATCAATAAAACTCTCAAACTGACCAAGGGAATTCAGAGCAGCATGAATCCATCCAGTTCTTATCTCAAATAACAACTTAAAAGAGACTGTTTGACCAACACAAGGATTGACCAAAATTCGTGTTAAAACAAATTAAAAATTAAAAATCAAATGAAAACTACAGACAAAAGTTCATTTTCTCCATCAAGACATTCATTTCTGTAGTTCACTGCTACCAGCAAGCAGAAAATTATTTTTCTCCTGATGATGGCCATGCTGGCCGAAACTAGTCGAAGAATCTATATGAAATAATAATAAAAACGAAGGAATATTAATATACAACCCAGTGTGTCTGAAGATTTTCATTTTTTAATATTTTTTGTTGTTCAATATATATATATATATATATATATATATATATATATTAAGAAATGGACAAGGTCCGACAATTTACTTGTATCTATAAATAACAACGTTAAACATAAAAAATGTCTTTAATAAATATATAAATATATATATATATATATATATATATATATATATATTTCATTTTGTGGAAATGACTACAAAACCATTTCCCCTCCCCTTTATGCATGCTGGGATTTTTTTTCCAAGCCAATAAAATAGGCCAATTCTCAGTTTCATCTGACTCAGTCTCGATCTGTCTTGTTTTGAATCAAAACGCTATCTTCGCTTGTCCGAACTTGCTTTTGTGTGTCAAATCCAATTCTTAGTTTGTGAACTTTTTGCTATATTATTTGTTGCTTTGCCTTCTTACTGTTAATTTGCCTTGAATATATTGTTTACTTGTTTTCTATTACTTTTTCACTCTTCCTTTCTTTTCTTTCTCTTGTTAATCCTTTTTGCAAACTTTGTCATTTCTGTTTGCTGGACAGGTCTCTTATTTATTTTGGTATTTGACCATGGCTATTCATACCACAGTACATATTGTTAGAGAACATTATTTCTCTAGAGAGCCAAGTCTACATTACTATTTAAACATTAGCTGAAGACGAATTCATGCCTTCCCTTTTGTGGCTGGAACATGAAATCGAATCATCAGTTCCACTTTCCTCGCCTTTATTTCTGACACCACAGACACATCCTCAAAGAGTGTAATGAAGGATTATGATGCGGCATTTAAAAAATAAGCCTTCTCTTACTATGAAAAAAGATATGAGAAATAATAATACATTTTAAAATTATGATTATAAAATTAATAATGTCTAAGTTAATGTAGACTACAAAAGATGCGATTGATCCGAGGAGGATTTTAATATACATCGAAATATCAATTGCATATACATTTGCTATTATGCATAGGTTTTATATATTCAAAAAAAAATATTGAAGCACATGCGTGAGGATGACTGCATGTGCAACCATCTCAAAAGTTATGCTTGATATTATGTTTTGTAAACATTGTAATGACTGATGCTAGAACCGCTTACAAGATAATCCCTAATCTTTCAACCCCCCCCCAAGAAGATCACAACATTGTAATATTATTAATAATAATAGTCGCACATTGGTAAGTCTAATCGGGCTGAAGCGGAGGGATTATATTGAAGCATTTGCTAAGTCTGCTCCTATGAAAGTTGGTTCACTGTATCTTGCTAGACAATCTTCCTCGGCAGAATCTGTCTTACATATTTATAAATCTACTATTCGTCATTGAATATTGCTGTCACATCTGATCTGGTGTTTCTGCTATGTATTTAGAGATTCTTAATTAAATCCAAAGCAGAATCTGCAATGCTATAAGCCCTGATCTGGTATCTCACTTTCAGTGACTTTCCCACCGCCGTAACGTAGCTTACCTGTGCCTTTTCTATTTTAACTGTATTTGTCGAAAGACTTTTGGTACCTCGATTTTATTAATTTAAACGCAGTACTAGATTGGAATGTAGGTCTCATCATTTTACAGTGAAACTGCTAGATGTTACAATGAGTTCTATGCTGACAGTTTCTTTCTTCTTCCTGCTTGTAGAATTCTATTCTCGCTTCTTGCTTTCCAATTTAATCTTCTAAAATTTAAATGCAATGTTGATCGTCATTGCGTGTCTACTTAATTCCTGTTCTTTTATTGTCCTCTCTACTTAATCATTTTTTCTCAGATTCCTTCCCACTCATTACCTCCTTTTGTCGTAGTGGCTTTATTGCCTTGTTTGAAGCGCAAAAGGTACGAGAATATAAACGAGAAAGAAAGGCATGGGAGCAAAAGAGACATGAGATGAAAGGTGAGTTAAAGGCAGGATGATGAGGGAATCGGCTAGAAAGAAGTAGACGGAATTGAAAGACAGGATAAAAAGAAAAGTTAAAAGAGGAAGAACCAAAAGCGAATGTTTCCCTAGAACCTATTAGTCAAAGGTAATTCCATTTTGGGGAATCAATTTAATGACGAAGGTATCATCCTGACTATAGATCATACGTGGCACTTCAGAATAAATAGTAACCTACCTTAATGTTTGCACAGTATATGGTATGCCGAGTGGTTGGAACGTTCGTTTTCTGAACATGAGACACGGGTTAGAATCTCACTCATGGTCGATTTGTCAGGAAGGTTGATTGATGTTATTGGTCTGCAGAAGGCGATCCCAGTGTGCGGCACCTTTGGAAAATGCCTAAAAAAAAACCATACCACAGACTGACCCAAGTCTTGAGTGGAATTTGGTAGACAGAACTCTTGGGAGCCTTCGGTGGTTGTACAAGCACAAAATCACAAGTCATCGTGGACGAGATTTTGAATGTGCTAGGCTTGTTCAGACTGTTGTTCACGCTAGATAATGCACTCTCTCCCAGAAACTGTAACTAAGCTCCACTCAGCATAGTTACAGTATAAACCGCTGGTGGGCTTTGTGTATGTTGAACGAATACAAAATGTGTCTGAGCAAGCGTCTGCAATGGGGATTAGCTAGCCGCCCTACTAGACTGACATCCTCGGATTTGAGTGGTTGCACCATTTCCATTATTAACTAGCATAAAGAGTAAAATGAAAAGACATTAAAGGACTTCATAGAGGTTTAATTTTGTAAGTCGAAATTCCCTACTAAATTCAGTGCACACCTGGAATATGAATATATATATATATATATATATATATATATATATATATATATAAACGTTCGTTTTCTGATCATGAGACACGGGTTAGAATCTCACTCATGGTCGATTTGTCAGGAAGGTGACATTGATGTTATCGGTCTGGAGGAGAAGATCCTAGCGTACGGCAACGGTGGAAAGTGCCTGAAAACCATACCGCAGGTTGACCCAAGTCTTGTTAGTAAAATTGGGTAGTCGGTACCCTTGGGAGCCGTCGGTGGTTGTGCTAGCAAGAAACCACAAGTCATCGTCATCGAGGGTTTTGAGCTTGCCGGCCTTGTTCAGACTATTGATCATGCTAAATAACATGCTCTCTCCCAGAAACTGTAACTAAGGTCTATTCAGCATAGTTGCATTATAAACCAGGGGCAGGATTTGTGGGTGTTGTACAAACACAAATTTGCCTGCAGTGAGGATTTGCTCGCCGCTCTAGTAGACTAGCATCCTCAGATACGAGTGGCTGCGCCATTTTAGATTAAGTGGCAGCATACACAGTGGATAAAAATTAAAATATTTTATCCACCAGATGAAGGAAAAGCAAATGCAACAAGAATAGAGGAAAAAATTGAAACTTTGTTATTTTCTTCTACGCCCGGCCACCATACTTACCTGAATATCCACCAACCGTCTATACATTTTTCGATCGTTTTCTAGTGTGAAATCTTTCTCTAATAGAGAATAGGATTTAAGTCAAAACCAAATGCTATACAGGATACACGCTTGGGCAATGATCTCTCTTTCGATTCATGCATCACTAGGCAGGAGATTTACTCGCACCTGGATACCGTTTTCCTAAAGAAGTTGCCAACCAAGGTTATAGGGCCAAGTCTACCTTGTTATTTAATCAAAAGCTGAGATTACGGCCGCATCATGTTGAAACACTAGTTTCCATACGATCACCGAAAGTAAGCAATGTCGAGTTTGGTCAGTACCTAGATGGGTGACCATTTGGCAATACCGGGTGCTGTAAGGATGATGGTCTGCAATTGTTAACCGGAGAGCCGAGTTCTAATTCCCGTTGGTTTCGTTACATTCACTTACGCTCAAATAGATTTGGGAAATGAATGACACAAACTATTCTCCCCTCATCTATGGGATAATTAGTAAGACTTGTCTCACTAAATCATTATTATCACTAAAAAATATAGAATCTAAAAATATTTCCTGGCTTTAAATAGCCTACAAAAGAATGATAATATGTAGAAAATGAATTATTAAAATACTGGCTCTTTTACACGGATATTATAATGATTTAAGGCAAAAGAAAAGGAGCAACCTTCAATCCTGGGTAGAGGGTACAGGAGGGGGGCATATGTAGATAATCCTGTCATTTTGATTAGTACGATGCTAATTAATATAAAAAGATGACTAAAGAATTTGTACTGCTATAGTAGTTGTGGTGATAAACCCTATATTTATTTAGAATTTATACTTAGGTTGGTCTTTGTTGTCATTATTGCTTCACATATCGTCCGATTCATATCCCCAGCCCGCCCCCGGCTTTTTAAAAAGTACTAAATGTTTATTTCATTTACGATTTATTTATTTACATTTTTTCTTAATAGATAGGTTCTCATTCCTTCCTTGTCTTTTGAACAGGTGCAACGGTTTATTCTTTGTTTTCTGTTTAGCATTGGTTTTCCGCTTCCTTTTGAATTCTACTTCAAATCTATACTTCTAATATCTCCACCTAAACTAGGAAATTTCATTAACTATTTATTTTTCCTCAATAAGATTAGATATATTCGCCTAGAGTCCAGTTCACACTTTTCTCCGGTCTTTTGAAAAGTAGTCGATGTTTATCCCTTGTTTCCTGTTTAGGATTCTGATTCCTTCTAAAGTTTTTTTTCATTCTATTTCGCTCCAAGTTGCCCCTTACGTCTTAGTGGCATTATCGCCTTACTTGGGGTGAATTATTTAAAAAAATGAAAGAAAAACTACTAGTAGTAGTAGTAGTAGTAGTAGTAGTGGCGGTAGTCTTAGTAGTATTAGCAGTGACATTGTAAAGTGATTAGGAATTCATTTCAGTAGGGCATATCGAATTTTTGAAGAATCGTAATCGATACATGATGTGAAGTCATTTAATCTCGGGTTAATCTCGGTGACGCATCAATGCGAGTTACATTAGTAAATGCGGATTAGTAAGAATCCATTAATGTTTGTATTTTAATTACTCCTTTTAGGTGATTTTTAAAAATACTTTTCCGACAATTCATTTACAAGAAAAATTTACAAAAAAAATCATAGAAATGGCACATATACATAGATGTTTAAAAGGATTTATCGCGATTACTTCCTTTCTTTCTTTCTTTCTTTCTTTCTTTTTTTCTTTCTTTTTCATTTCCTTTCTTTATCTCTTTCTTTCTTTTCTCTTTTTTTCACTTTCTTTTCTTCACTTTCTTTCTTTTTCACTCCCGCCCTTTTTTCTTTCTTTTTCTCTTTCTTTTTTCTTTCTTTTTCTCTTTCTTTTTCCCACTTTCTTTCTTTTTTCTTTCTTTCTTTCTTTCTTTCTTTCTTTCTTTCTTTCTTTCTTTCTTTTTGTTTTTGATTTTCTTTTTTATCTACCCGTTCTTCTTTCTCATACGTTCAATCATTTTCCTTTTGTTTTTCAGCTCATATCTCGAGGGATTCTTCTGTGTCTTTCTTCTTCTTCTTCTTCTTCTTCTTATTATTATTATTATTATTATTATTATTATTATTATTGTTGTTGTTGTTGTTGTTGTTTTCCATAGAACATTTTCAAGCGTCCACGAGATAGCCTCAATGATGCATTTATGGTTCCCGACGACAAATCTATTATTATTATTATTATTATTTTTGAAGTGACCCAGGAGCAAGTTGTTCCCTCAAGTCAAACACGTGACCTGACGCGTGTCGTGTGGCTGGATAAGTCTTGAAATTGTTTGACGGACGTCCATGAGTTATATAAAAAAAACACACAACTATAGAGGTGCTTCTGCTGGTGGTAGTACTCATCAGGGAGTAAAGAGGACGAGGAGTAGGCCGTGACGGACAAATAAATGGATAAGTGGACGATGCCTCCAGTGGTCGAGAGGTCCGTCGAGTGGATGTCTACTTTCTCCCCTACCCACTCTCATTGTTTAGACAAACTACTTCGGACAATACCCTTGCTTATAAGGTCTTTTTTACTTACGTTTTCCCCATTTTATTTTAATTCCGTTCATTTCTTTATCCGTTCTTTTACCCTCTTTTCTTTTTCTCTTAATCTTTCATTAATAATTTAATGTTTTCGATTTTTTCTTCAACATTCTTCATTTTTTTCTTTCTTTTTACTTTCTTTTGCTGTCTTTATTTCATTTTGTTCGTTCGCTTTTTTTTTCATTTCTTCTTTTTTTAATTGTTTCATCCTTTTTTCCCTCTTTCTTTATTGCTTCCATTTTTTTTTTCATTTTTTTTAACTTTTATATTTGCTTTTTTTCCTTCTCTATTCCTTGTCGCTTCTCATTCATTTATTCTTTTTACTTTTATTTATTATTTCATTCCTTGCCCCTTTCTTTCATCATTTTATGTCTTTCTTTATCAATTTACGTTCCTTTCCTTTTGATTGTCCTTTTTTTTTCGTCTCTCTCTCCTTTCTCTATCATTCTTACATTCTTTTATTTCGTTTCTTTCTTTCGTTTCTTTTCTCCATCTTTCTTTACACATTTCATCCTTTCTTTCCGTTTTCTTTTTTTTTCATTTGTTTCTTCATTTTAACTTTCTTTCCTTATCATTTTTTTTCTCTTTTGCTCTCCCGTTTTCTTTCCTTTCGTTTTTCTTTCTTCTTTAATTCCTCTTTACTTCTTCCTTTATTTTCTTCCATTTATTTTCTGTCTTTTCCTACTTTGCATTGTTTTCCCCTTCATTCTCTTCATTTTTCGTCACTTACTTATTTTCACTCTTACCTTTGTTTTTTTTTTCATTCCTTCTTTTCTTTCCTCCCTTCTCTAAATCTTCTTCGTTTTCTATTTCTTTTTTTAACATTTTTCTTTCATTTGTCTTCTTTATTTTATACTTTTGTTGTTTTTATTTTTCTTCTTTCTTTTCCTTGCCCTCTATTCATTTTAATTGCTTTCTATTCTTCTTTTGACTGATCGACATATCCCGTTGAAGCACTGGTTCACGTACAATCACTAAAGCTAAGCAACGGCGAACCTCGTCAGTATCTAGATGGGTGGCCGCTGTATGCTTGCGTGTGATGTAATGGACAACGGGCCAGAATTGGAAAATCAATTCTAGTGGCGTTCATTGTTTTCTTTTACGCACTAATAAACTTAGGAAACTAATGAATCCATCTCTTCCCGCTCCCAAGCTATTTGTTAATTAAAAAGACTTCAACCAATAAATGCTTATTATCTCCTAAAGATTTTAGAATCTAAAATATATTTGCCGGCATTTAATAATCTGCAAATGGTGAATAAACCGTGAAAAAACAAATCTATTCTTTTTTTTTTCCTCTATTTTAGTGTTTCTTCCTATTTATATTTTTTTCAGTTAATTTCTTTTCTTTTTTCTTTTCTGTGTGTCAGCCTTGTTTGATTAATTTTCTATAATTCACTCTATCGTTCTTTCTATGAAATATTTACACTTTTAAAATTAAAATCTTCAGACACACTGGGTTGTAGATTAATATTCCTTCATTTTTATTATTATTTCATTTAGATTCCTCGACTAGTTTCGACCATAATGGCCATCATCGGGAGGAGAAATATTTCTGCTTGCTGGTAGCAGTAAACTACAGAAATGAATGTCTTAATGGAGAAAATGAACTTTTGTCTGTAGTTTTCATTTGTTTTTTTTTATTTTTTTATCATTTTAACATGAATCTTTTAACATTCCTTGTGTTGGTCAAACAGTCTCTTTTAAGTTGTTATTTGAGATAAGAGCTGGATGGATCTATGCTTCTCTGAATTCCCGTGGTCATTTTGACAGTGTTATATACATATATATATATATATATATATATATATATATATATATATATATATATACGTGTGTGTGTGTAATTAACATGGATACAAATATCTATCTATCTCTCTCCCTATATATATATATATATATATATGTGTGTGTGTGTGTGTGTGTGTATGTGTGTGTGTGTGTGTGTGTGTGTGTGTGTGTGTGTGTGTGTGTGTGTGTGTGTGTGATAAAAAACAGTTTGAATCTATGCTATATTTCTGGGCAAAATTCCACAATATCAGGGAGAGAGCGTGTTTCAATGCAAGAGAGATGCCTGGGTCATAACCGTGTGTAGACAGATTGTTTCAAACATTAACGTAATCTTCAGGAACACATGGATGAACTCATTCTCACACACACACACACATGCACACACACATACACACACATGCACACACACACACACACACACACACACACACATATATATATATATATATATATATATATATATCAGTTTTTCATATCTATCAATTTACCTATGTCTCAGTTTTTCATGTCTATTTATCAATCTATCTGAGTCTTTTCAAATCTATCTATCTATCTACACATATATATATATATATATATATATATATATATATATATATATATGTGCGTGTGTGTGTGCGCGCGCGTGTGTATCAGTCTTTCATATCTATCTGTCAATTGATCTGTCTATCGCAGCCTTTTCATACCTATCTATCTAAATATTTTCATATCTAAGTCTTTTCCTATCTATCTATCTATCTATCTATCTATCTATCCTGACCTATGATTAATGGTTAAATGTGATTTTTAAAAATCTAATCGAATTATACGTCGATCTGCAAGCGAATTAGAAAAATATAAAAACATCAATCAGATCGAGAAAATCGTGGGAAAATAGAATCAATTGATACTTTGATACTTTTTGCTTCAATTGACGGCTTTGGTTTCGTCCTGACGAAAGCAAGGTGAGGCATAATGAAAGGTGAGGTGTCGCCGTACTGGGTGTGTGTAAAAAGAACAATTCTGGGAACGCAAGGTATC